TCCCTAACTCCTTTTTTTACACTCTGTTATAACCACTGCTCTAACCACTGTAATTTTTGTAATCATTTTCTGCATAGCTCTATGTATTGTGCAATGCCTAGTTAAAGCAGCTACCTTTTTTGTGCACATTCGATATACAGCACTAGGAAAGGACCCTAGCCAATTCCTAGATCCTGAACCTTCTATTCCGGCCATCGGGCACTTCTAGATTCCCCCAAGGTGGGCAAGAAGTGCTAGTATCACCGCCATCTTATATCCTGAGATGTGGTGTGTCGTATCAAAAAGTGGAATGTAGCCAGACAGGAACCCCCTTGTAACATTCATTTTTGCTTGCCTAGAGCATACAGGGCACACAGAGCAGAAGGCCCAGGCTGTGTGACCATGAATGGCTATAAACAGAGATATGCCAATTGCTGACCAAGAGGCTGCCAAAAAGTGCCCTTGACTTAACTCATATTGATACGAACACACATCCATCCGCGGGGGGAGGAATCTCTCGCCCAGTAAAAAAATGTCTAGTGCTCACAATTTAGTTATCTCTCTTGCAAGTGTAAATTAACTTGAAACTTGCTTGTAAGAACTGGCGCCACAAAACGGACCAGTACAATTCGGCATCTTAGATAAGAAAGAGAATACGGGCCCCCAGGGGTATAAAGATAGGTCCAGCAGCGCATTTTCTCTGAGTGTCAATCTACCATCTATCTGCTGGTCGGGTTTGGTGTTTGATCTCCCGAGGTTCCAAGGGGACGCCCACCTCGTATTCGTCTTTCCTAGGAATTGAGAGACCGGCCCTGGCCTGACACGCTGGAGTCGAGAGGCACAGAAAGGGGTAAAAATTGTACCTGGATGTGGTCCTTTGTTTAAGTATATATATACATAGACTTAGAGCTCTTTAAAGATTAAGCTGTCACTTGGTACCATTATTTCTATTTTCTATCTTTATTTTCTTTGTAACCATTTTTAAAATCTGTATTTGTTAGCATTTAAAAAATAGAGCAATAGCCATTGTAACCATATGCTTTTATAAGTCTTTTAATAAACCTGTAACTGTTTAAGTTTTAACCTGACTCCTTCAGTTGCTGTAACAGAACCAAGCACAATTTAAAAGAACTTCAGCCGGTCATAAAGGGACAGACATAGGGAGAGCTTAGGGCGTTTGGATCTGTGTCACTCCCAGGTGACAAGATCCGTTGGGGCACCTTTCCAGCCTTTCCCAGGCTGCCCGCTGCGAAGGAACCCCTGTGTTCTAGCAGTTAAAATCTAAGGTGTAATAAGCTCTTTCTATATAACGGGGCGTCTGTTGGCCTGCTGGCCACCCTCTGCGACGGGACCCCGGTCCTAGCAGTAAAGACACGGACGTTAAACCTTTTCTCAGAAGCATACACACACACACTGCCCTGACCGTCGGCTGACAACGGGTCCTTTCAAAAAAGGGTTGTTGTTTTTATTTTTCCCAAAAGAACTGCATCTAGACTGCGGTTTTACTTTCAAAATACCCTTTTTTGAAACAGTGATCGCACTTGAATATGCAAATGAAACGTGGCATATTTAAATCCACGCTTCATTTGCACTTTCAGTTAGGCTCATTTACATCCCTCTGTAGACAGGGGGACGTCGTCTAGACGTGCCCTCAGAGACAAGTCGGAGGGGATAGCCGATTTAGTCTGTGTCTGCAAAAACAATGAGGAGTCCTGTCCCATCTTAAAGACTAACAGATGTATTTGGGCATAAGTTTTGTAGTCAAAGACCCACTTTGTTAGATACAACAACAGGAGACAGTTTTCTTGATTACTATTCCAAGCCTCTTTTTCTACTCAGAAAGCATTCTCTCTGCCTTCCTCTCAGATCACATGCTTCAACGGCTGGCCTTGCTTTTCATCTGCTACCTTCATTTGCTTCTGTGGTATTTCTACTTGTATATGCTCCTACACCCAACTCCACCAAAACAATACACAGCAATAGCTTGCATAGTTTCTGACTTGCCCTACATGTGGCCTGTGTTTTGAGTGGAGGCCCCCACCCCTGCCGCGTGTGGGGGGGTGGGGAAGGGCGTGCAGACACCGGCCGTTAGCAGGGGGCCCCACCTTCTCCTCCAGCTGGGTGACACGCTGCTGCTGGGAGTCTCGCTGCTCACACACCTCGTGGTACTGCCGTAAGTGCTGCTCCTTGGCGGAGGCCAGCATCCGCTCACATTTTGCTTCCCACTGGGATTCCAGTTCTGCCTGGATGAGCGACAGCTGCCCGGGAAGAAACAGACGTGACTAGCAGGGACCTGCCCTCGCCTGACCGTGACAGGCGCTCTGAGCGGAGAACGCAGGGGTAGGGGTGGGGCCAGGCAAACTCTCCTATCTAGTGCTGCCATCTTGGGATTGGCACAGCATCCTCCCCTCTCCCGCCCCAGCACAATCTCTCCTCCGCGGCAGGGTCACTCTGCCAGGCCGGCCCTGGCGTCTCCCGCTGCCGGGGGGCCCGTTCCCCTTCCCTCTACCGACAGCCCTGCTGACTGCAGGGAGCTCTGCCCTGCCAGCAGGAGAGCAGTCTCCCCTTGGCTCCTGCCAGTCATGGCACCCCGTGCTCTGCATGACCAAGCCCACCAGGACTGAGGCTGCTCCTGTCGCCATAAAGCCACGAGAGCGGCTGAGAAGTCAGAATCCCAGCCCGATGCTTTGAAGAGCCTTCCCCACTCCCGCCCCCCCCCCAGAGTGGAATTCGTTTTGTTATGTGACTGTTCTGTGCACCAATATAAAGGTGACGTGTCACATATCAGTGGGGGTGGGGCCCAGGAGCGCCGAGTGTGGCAGGGGCTCAGGGCGGGATCTGAGGGCTGGGGCCTGCAACAGAGGGACTCCTGGGCTGGGCCAGGGCTGTGTTTGGGCTTCCCCACTCCCGCCCCCCCCCCAGAGTGGAATTCGTTTTGTTATGTGACTGTTCTGTGCACCAATATAAAGGTGACGTGTCACATATCAGTGGGGGTGGGGCCCAGGAGCGCCGAGTGTGGCAGGGGCTCAGGGCGGGATCTGAGGGCTGGGGCCTGCAACAGAGGGACTCCTGGGCTGGGCCAGGGCTGTGTTTGGGCCGGGGGAGAGGTGCCAGTTCAGGCCACCCTTTCCTCAGCCACAGCAGCTGGAGACCAGGGTGGGTTGGGGGTGGGGCAGCTCTCCTCCCCAGCGTGGGCGGATGCCTTGAGCGCCTAGCGGCCGCACGTCTTACTGGGAACCCCTCCCCCCATCCAGTCTCCTGGCTGCCCGGGTCACTTCAGAGTTGCCGGGAGGAATCCTGGAGCAGGAGAGAACAGCAACGCCAGAGGCAAGCGAAGCAGGAGAGAGAGACACTGAAAACTGATCCCATTCGTAAAGCAGGAGGCTGCTTCTTCATTCTCTCACCCAAGCACTGAGGAAGCTGTAGCGACGTGTCCTTGCTGTCTGGGACCCAGCCGGGACCCACACGCCCCATCCAACCGGAGGAGCTCCCCATACCTGCTCCGCTGCTGCCTGATCAGTTGAAGTCCGGGCCTTTTTCAGGAGCTGTCGGAGTTTGTCCAGCTCTTCCTGGTAGGACCTGCGAATCTCATCCATCTCTTCCTCAGCCTGGCTTCTCTCCAAGAGGGACTTCTTTTTCCTCTCAGCAAGGTGCTGGAGCACAAAGAGCAGCACGTCTGAGCACAGTGGGCAATCTCGCTAGTATCACTATTACACACTGCCGCTAACGGACACGGCATGTGAAAAGCCACCTCAGTGCACTCTTGAACCCATGCTCCAGACTGCGGGGCTGGTAGGGAGAGCTGCTTATCCAAAATTTGGCTTAAGTTTAACAGCCAGCTGGAACTGAGCAGCTCCCCTGAAGTGCAGATGCCTGGGCTTACCTTTTCCAGATTCTCTTTCTCCACTCTCAGGTCTGCTATCTCTTCTTCCAGCGCCGTGACCTTCAGCTCCAGTTGCCTGCGGCTCTGCTTCTCAGCCCTGAATTTAGCTTGAGTGTCTTCAGAGGATTCTTGGAGCTCTGCAAGAAAACAGCTCGCTGTGGGTTTCCGCACTTCAGACTAAGCCGAACAGGAGAAAATTTACAGCCCAGAGCAGGATTACACAGCAGGGCCCATGACTTGAGTGGGAATGGGAACGTGTGACGTGCTGTCGCTCACAGCTCTTACAGCCAAACAGTTAAACAGGGTCGTCTGCTCTCCCCCTCCCCTTCGCGTAAAGGCCTCAGCAGCAGTGACGACAGTAAAAGCTCCGTCCCTCTTCTACAAGCCTCAAAAGATGCAAGGCCGAGAAAGCACCAGTCGGATGTTCTCCCCTTGAGCTGGCTTTGACAAAGGTGTCCCTGCCTGGCTTGTGACGGGGCCACTCTCTAACCCTGGCAATACAGTTAATGACAGGCTGAGACTGGGGGGCGGGGTGAGAGCAGCAAGACCCCGGACGCTGGCCCTAAGGAAAGCACCAAGCGCTCCACGCAGGCAGGCAGCAGGCGAGCAGCCTGCAGGAGGGCTCAGGCAAACAGCACACAAGACGAGCTCAGGGGCTGAGCCACTTGCACCCTCCTGCATATCTACTGCTCCCTGCCCGAGGGAGGAGGGTGGGCGGGTCATTCTCCACTGAGTCCCGTGTGTCCTCGTCATTTCCATGGCTGGGGCATAGTTCAGTCCCGAGGCCCAGATGGAGCCTTCAAGGCCAAGAACGCCAGAGGATGCCCAGCCCGGTGCTGCAGGGGCTAGAGCTGCATCCCAGCAAGCAGAACGCCCTTCAGCAAGCACGACGAGGCCGCCACGCGCAGGGCTGTCCTTGCCCAGATCCAGAGCACGCAGCTGATTGAGGCACCGCTGGGTCTTAATATCCACCCACCTGCCTCTTCCCACCCCGTGCTGTGGCCCTGCTTCCTCCGGCGAGAAGGTAGCTCACTCCAAGTGACAGCGCCTGCCAGAAACACTGAAGCTGGGAAGGAGCCATTCAAGTGGGAATGAAGCTGAGTGGTGCAATAGGAAGATGGACTAGTCACATGACCCGCTACGGACATCCCTATTTTCTGGCAGAGCCACCAATGTACCAGTTTAAATCCAGTGAAGCTCAGCAGAGGCCAGAAGCAGTCAGCTGCTGCAGCTAACAGGCTGGCGTCCACATCAGAGCCACCCTAACAGGCCCTTTGGCAGGCTCAGCAGGAGGCTACAAATGGATTTTCTCCCCGAAGTGGAGCTCCCTCCTCTCCCCTTGTTGGTCCCCCCAGCTGAAAGCTAAGGCACATTATACTAATTGGCCCTTTCTGGCAATTAAAATGGCTGCCACTGAAGTACAAAGTCAAGGTCACCAAGCCAGCTGGCCTCAAGTTAACAGAGAACTAGAGCATGACCGAGGCAACAGAGCCCAGCCCCTGACCGACCCCTCACCAGCTAGCTGTGCTTGCAGTTTGCTGAGCTGTGCCCCCTGCATCTCTGCCTCCTGCAGGGCTGTGGTCAGCTGTGTGCGCAGGTCCATCTCCTTCTTCTGGTGGGCAGTCAGCTCCAGCTGCAGACGGGA